CTATTCTGTCACAGTTGGTTGAAACATGTGTTGAGAGTTTTGAGAGGAATAAATTAAATGTTGAGAATGACATGAGGTTGGCGTTAACAAAATCTCACCCGCGAATTTTGAGGCTGGTTAATAATACATGCAATTTCAACCATCTCATTAAATTAATTATTAAACATAATTTAAAATAAAATTATACTAAAAAACTAATTTCATTGTTTTTTTAATTACCTTATTAAAAATACCTTTTTCAATTGTATCGGGGTCGCGGGTTACTTGGCTTTTATAAAAAGGGGGTCGCCACCCGAAAAAGGTTGGGAACCGTTGCTCTACTGTATATTTAATAAATAATAATACAAACCAACATCTATGCAAGTCACAGAAATACACATAAATGATGATTCTGTAAAAAAACCAATTAAATTAATATACTATAATGTTATAAATGTACAATATTGTATACGAATTACAAAAACTTTCGGAAAAAGATACCTAATAGTCCACCATAGAATAAAAACAGTACGAAGAGGACAATAAAAGCAATGGGAGACCAACAAAAGCACACCGAAGTAAGTATGCATGTTTTTCGAGAAAAGTTATATTTTCCTTCATATCTACATAAAACAAAAATAATTTCTATCGTCAATAAATGAAAATAAATTTAGGCTTTAATACTCCATATTTGCAAAACGCGAGTTATTTAAATTAATGCAGTCACCGGTGCCCGAGTGGATAAAACCACCGAACACTGCAGTTGATTACGAGTTCGCTCGTGGAGTTTTTCAGTTTTTCTTCGCGTGAGTAAATAGGGATCCGTTTCCCATAGAAGTCCTTCCAAGAGACCTTAATTAAGATGGGGCAAGGGAACGCCCTTGCCCCATCTTACCTAAGTTGACCACGCGTTTCCGATTTCCGGGAACTGTACCCGGTTTTTCCTGTTTCTAATATCTGATTGTAGAATCCATTTTTGAATAGAGCAACTTTATTAACACGAGTTTATCTTTATCCAACCTTATCTTTATCGAAAATATAATATTTACTTCGTTTATTTTTTAAAATAAATAAAGTTCCGTAAGTTTTAGAACCCATTTTCACTAATAATCAAATGTGTCCCCCGTTGGATTGTAAATGATATGGTCCAATTATCCTAGCTTTATCTCAAAGAAAATAAATAATACCTGTCATCCATCATCTAGAATATAATGCAATATTTTAGTTTTAAAAACTAACGCAATTCTGTAAAAAGTATCCAAAATATTTTTCATTCATAATTAGAATTATTTTTGAATATTTCTGTTTTTATTAAACGAACGCGTGTAATGTTCGTTTTAAATTGCATGTGCTAAAAATTCAAATTTAAAATGTTTCTTAAGTTTCATAGCTACGTTTTCATTTGTCGAGTATTCATATTCTTTTCTTTTTAATTTTCAAACATTAAAATACACTATTTTTAATTTTTAATATTTAGCTAATAAGTAGATAAATGAATATCTTTATACCGTTATCGTTTATAATCTTTATACCGTTTTCAAAACATAACAAGATGAATTTGTGTAATTTCAAAAAAGTATCCAGATTTTTATTGTTCTTTCCTACATTTCACTTTGAAGCGCCAAGCTTATCTTTATCGAAGAAAAACTTATAAGGAAAAATATACGACCGTCATTTAAATTATCACAATTTTCTGTTTGTTTAGTTATGGCAGTGTTTCTCAATAGGGGCGATATCGCCCCCATGTGGGCGTTTTTCCATGTTGAGGGGGCGATTTGTAACAATTTATATTTTGGGGGCGAAAAACAATTTTCTGGGCGATATAGTAAAACATTATATTAAGAATAATTAGATATTTTATCCGTTATATCGTACAATAATTAAACATATAACATTATACTAATCACTAGTCTATTCAATGCAGTACGAATTTGGCGTTAGCCTCGGCCCTCGGCATCGGAATTTTGAAGTGAAGGGGGCGATACTACGTAACGGTTTTATTGAAGGGAGCGACGATTCGTTTGAGGTTGAGAAACACTGAGCAACGCAACACTTGGGCGATCTGCCTAGAAGGATATCTTCCGGGAAGTTTTTTAAGGGAAACTGGCTTCTATTTAGGCGTTACAGAAGCGGAGAAAACTCGGAAAACTCCACGTTGGCCAGCCCGTTCAAGCGAGGCGCAAACCCACGACCGAACTTCCAGTATTTAGGGTACGAAGACCGCTTGGCCATTGGTGGACCCCGCGATTTTTTACTTGGCGCAATTTTTTACATCAGATGTTTTTGTTTGGATATCAATTCCTTTTTGGTTAATGATTGTGTTATTATATCAAGACCTAAGAGTTCGACGACACGACTGCTGCCGATCGAACACTTTTAATACGCCATTTAGTAAAATCGTTATAAAAAATTTTAATTCGCAGAAATTTGAGCTTTTGTCATTCTGGGTAACATTTTGAATAAAAATAATTTATTTCGATGCAATTTTATCCTTACAAGTGTAAAATTAAGCAACAAATGTATAGCTGTATAGAAAACTCCCGTAAACTTTGACCTATCGACACGGAAGTTTGGCACCTCACAGATGAAGGGAAGGGCTTAAGTTTAAAATTTGAGCTTTCTACACCCAGTAGTTTTTTCTCTGGGAGAGTCTGCAGTGCCAAATAAAGATTTTTTTGCCGATTTTTGTGCGTTTGCCGATTTTTGTGCCTTTAAAAAATCCTGAAATTTTGCACACGAGCTAGAAAATACTAAGTATCTTTCGAACGAGATATTCAAACTTACTATAGGTATTTGGGGGCGGAGAAATCGACCCCCGAAAATCGGCAACTCTGATTCCTGTGTATGTAGTTGGTCAGTGACTTTTTACTTAGTACGGAGTCAGTGCCGTGACTTTCGATAATATTACTTTAATGGTGAATTATTAAATGTTAATATAATATTACGATAATCTTTTTTCGAAATTCAACGGTATCATCATTGAAATACTGCGGTGTTCAAAACCATTTACTTTTAACTATTCATTACAAATCTCTTAACTCCTTTGAGACTTTCCAATTTTTGATATTAATGTAATTAAACATATAAAATACTTAAAACTGAAAAAAACGAAAGCAATGCGTTAATTTTGAAGAAAAAGCTTCAAATTTTATTTTCCTTTGTCTCGCCTTTCTGTGAAATCTGACGCTGATGAGTCATTGTTTACACAGCTGGATGACCTTGAACACAGCTGGAGTTGGATTTTCCGGGACATTCTCATAGAAGTCTCGGGAGGCGATGGGTTTATAGTAGGGTGAATACTAGCTGGCCGTATATCTAAATATTTTTAAAAAATTAAAATTTTTATTGCGATTTCCGACCTCCCCGACTTAATTAAACTTATATATAATAAAATCTATTAATTAAAAAAATTAAAAAACTATTGGAGGTCGTTTTTGATATCAGAAACTAGCTTCAAATAACTTTACCGAAGGAAAATCCGTGCACTACAACTTTAGAACGATTAATGATATTTGATATCAAACTTCCATTAAAAAACAATTAAAAAGCAATTAAGTGTGAATGGTGCGTCATTAAAGGTTAATTAAAATCGCGATAAATTTTCTTCGCGCGGGAAAAAAATTTTGAAAAAATTTGGAGACTTAAAAAACATTTCAAAAATCCAAGAAAAAACAAAACTTTTTAGGGGGTTCAAACGCCCGAGTTTTATGTAACGCTATAGAACTTGCCCAAGATATCTCGGGATAAGTCCTTAAGATGGTACAGCGTAGAATGTTGATAAAGAATGATAATGTGAAAAATGTATCTGTAATCTCTATCTACAATTTAGTCTCTGTGGGTGACACTACAGTGCGATCTCGCACCTCCTCAAAATCTTTCTAGGGCAGCCTCTGATTCGGCCCGTGAAAAAAGTTTTCTTTCCAATTCGGCCCGGGGGTAAAAACTATTGGCCAATCCTGGACTAGATCATACCGCTTCCTATCGAGTTAAATTAAAATCGTCACAAATGTTTTTCCGGTAAAAAAAAAGAAAAGAAAAAGAAAAGAAATAGAAACGACGGCACAGGAAATCTATAAATCGTCATAAAAGTTTTGAACAAGTGAGATAGGTCCTTTCTAACAAACAAATTAACAGACTAAGTTAAAATTTTATTATTAATTGTATATACAGTAATAATATTAAATAAAATTTAATTGATTTTTGTTTTCATTGAAGGTGAAATGTAATTTCTTCACTGAATGTAAACATAAATGTTTTTGTCATCATTTTTTTAGCCAAATATTTTCTTACAATTAGACTTTCAATTCGTGCTTTCATTAACGCGATGTCTGTTTTTTAGTTGTTCTTTAATTTTATAAATAAGTTCTTTGTGTTGCATTTTCTTTGCAGATTTCATAATTCTTACTATTGTTGCTTCTATTTCGTACTTCCGATCATCGTTTATTGTATCCCGAGTCAATTTATCATCGATTTTGTCCTTATTTGCGAGTGGTTGTATTTTCACGCGATATAAACTAGAATAAAATGATTCGTTTACAATAAAATTACCAGTTTGTTTTATTGTTAAACTTTCTGGATTCTTGTTCAAGATGTTCTGCGATGGTTACCCGAAATTAATGTTTGCAACGCCTTTTCTAGATCTATTTCGGGTATATTTGTTTCTGCCAACATTCATAGTCTTCTTTGTATTAAATAACATTAAGATGTACAGTACATCTTATATGTAGAAACTTGAATAAAATATTTCCGAAAATTATTTTTTGACTGTAGAATCTGATATAGACTTTGGATCACCGTTTTCGGTATTAGTGTCATCTAAAACTAATTTAAATCGGCCTTGCCAAAAACTAATTCTTCAAAGTCAAATGACTTTGATGAATTAGTTTTTGGCAGGAACGCTTTATAACGTAAAATTTCTTAAAAGATTCAAAGGTTTGTTCGGGTTGTTTGGAAAAATTACAGATTGTGGAAATTGTTGGCCAAATTCCAGGAGGTTATAATATCAAGACCTAAGAGTTCGACGACACGACTGCTGCCGATCGAACACTTTTAATACGCCATTTAGTAAAATCGTTATAAAAAATTTTAATTCGCANAATTCTTCAAAGTCAAATGACTTTGATGAATTAGTTTTTGGCAGGAACGCTTTATAACGTAACATTTCTTAAAAGATTCAAAGGTTTGTTCGGGTTGTTTGGAAAAATTACAGATTGTGGAAATTGTTGGCCAAATTCCAGGAGACAAAATCTTCACATTAGAATCCATCGACGTTACGTTATCCATTTGAGTTCGAATGTTCGGTGATGATATCGGAAACCATCATATCTTTTATCATTCGCTCTAATTTAAAAGTGTAATGTTTACCACATTCTGATTTTAGTTTTGAATTAATTTCTTGTTCGTAATCACACGATACTTTTTTACGGGTAAAAGTCGCTTCGATAAATGATACCTATAATATCGTAGAAATGTATCCTTATCTTGTAAATAATGAAAGAGCAGTAGATTTTTATTAATTAAATATTCCGTTTCCTGTTCGGCAACATCTTTATATTTTTTCTTTAATTTATTGTCTAAAAACAGTGATAGGCACTCTGCACACTTAGAATTTAAATTTAAAATATATTCGAAGTCACCAGCTATGATTTTATGTAGATATTTATCCGAATTTGATGGTATCAACAGGAAACGATCGACTTTTTCTAGCAAGTCTATTAATTCTTGTACAAAAATTAAGGAATCAATTTTTCTGTTTTCTATATCTTCTATGAAGGAACGCCCAACGTTCCTCAAATAAGAACTAATACAGTCTGCCATTATTATTAGACAATCTTCGATTTTGCGAAATGTCTGACACATTGAAGCCAAATCATTTGTTTTACGGAATTTTAACGCAGAAACTATACCAAAAATTTCCATTTCTAGTACAGCTTTAATATTTTTCTAATTAATTCATCTTCTAAAACAGTGGTTCCCAACCTTTTATCATTAGCGTACCCCATGACATGTCATATCTCTAGATTGTACCCCTCATTTAAGAAATTTAGTGAGTACCCGTATTGTTAACTTTACATATTGTAACTTTAAATTAAAGAAAAAAAAAACTAAATGAAAAAATGTATAATAAAGTTGTGATTGTTGCAAGGAAATATTTTACGTAATAATTTTTTAATACTATTAGTTTGTGATACATAATATATTATTTTTTCTGCCATAATAACTAACTTTTTTCTGTACCCCTAAGCAACC